CAAGGTTGTCCTCTGGTGTCCACACATTATTTTTGATTGTTATTATGATTCATTCAGAGAAACATACAACAGTTATGTTTAGTATATAAAGCCCTGCTCCCTGCCTGGCTTTGAAATATAAAGAAGGTCTCACAGAGGTTCAGTTCAGCCCTGCCATCAGAAGCCTGCCACTGGGCTTGAGTGGCAGGAAGCCACCTGCATTGCCTAATCTGACTCAGGAACAGAAAGAACTGCCTTTGTACAGACTCCAGCATTGCTTGCTGTGGGCATCTCAGATAAAGTTTGCACTTGCTTAACATGGACTGTGGACACAGCAAACAAGGTAGGAATGGGGTTTGCTGAACAAAAATTCAATGATGGGAGCTGGAGAGGTTGCTCAGTGGCTAAGTAACGTTCTTCCCAGCATCCAGACAGCTATATCACTAGTCCCAGGGGATCTGGTGCATTCTTCTGACCTCCGTGGGCACCAGACATGCATGCGGGGCACATATATACATTCAAAGCACTCATATACATAATAATAATGGGAGCAGGGCTGGAGAGATTGCTCAGTAGTTAAAAACACTCTCTGCTCTTCCAGAGGACCCAGGTTTAGTTCCATGCATCTAAATGGTGGCTCAAAACCACCTATAACGATGCTAGTCCTCAGGGATCTGAGGAAACCAGGTATGCACATGGTACACAGACACATATGCAGACAAAACACTTATATGCATAAAATTAATTAACAAATTTAAAATTTGAAGGTGCTGGTGAAATGGTTTTTAGATAAAGGTACTTGCTACCAAGACTGACTAGAGTCTAATCTGTTAGTCTCATAGTAAAAGAAAGCACCATTTCCCACAAATTATCCTCTGCCCTCTGAGCAGGTGTTGTGAAATATGTGTGCCTGCACATACTGTTGTGTAGCAATTACCTCCAAATGGAACATGCCACCTCAGATAGAAGCTTATTGAGATTAAGGAAGTTCTAAGGGGAAGCTGGTTAAAACTCAGTAAGCAACTCAAAAGTCTCAGGAAGTCCCTGAAATGGACCAGATCCACAAGAGTCCTAGCTCCCCAAACTTATAGACTCAGTTTAAGGAATGCAGAGAGGCAATTCTCCAGTCTGTCAAAATGCCTGCAAGTCCTGCAGTGAGCTCTATGGATAAACCTTCATGATCCCTCACCCATGCTGGGGTAGGCTTCAGAGATGTAACTGTTCATGGAAATCACCCCTCCCCCATATTATAAGTAACCCCAGTAAGTTCATTTGTTTGGCAGGTTGGGCCTTGGTGGTAATGGTACTATGGTCTGTTGTTGGTTCCCTATCTGGGGTGAGTAGACATTAGTTTACATCTTCTCAGGAATAGTATCACAGCGCTCGTGTGCGTGTGCACACACACATGCGCGCGCGCACACACACAAAGTGTCACAGCATACAAATAATTAAAAAATTAAATGCTGCCATTGCCTGCCAAGAAAATGGAAAATAAAATCACATGTAACTGTTAGTCATGACCATTTATCTTTGGCACACACATTCATGTGTGTAGGGATACATGTGCATATGTACATATGTATAGGGGCCAGAGGTTAACCTCAGGAGTCATTCCTCATGGAACCCACCTTGTATTTTAAGACATGGTAACTCAGTAGTCTGGATCTCATCTATTAACTAAGCTGGTTGGCCAGTAAGCTCCACCAAGCTAAGGTTTATATGTGGGTTCTTAAGATTGAACCAAGGTCCTCATGCTTGCACAGCAAATACTTTTCCAACTGAGCCATTTCCCTACCTCTACATATTTTATTTATAATTCAAAATGGAAGAGAAGTCTCAGTAAAAAGGTATCAGGAGACACCCTGAGCAAAACTATAGATTGCAATTGTAACAGCACACTTAACGAGAGACTGTCTCAGCAGTCCACAGTCAAAGCCATGGCACAAGGGCTATTCATGCTATCTACAGTTCTCAAATTTATGAACAGCAAGAGCCAAAAAATGGCTCGACAGGTAAAGGTACTTGCCACCAAGCCTGGTGAACAGCGAATTCAATTCCCAAAACTTACCGATTCCTAAAAACCGTCCTCTGACTTTGATACATGTGCACCTTGGCAATCATGAATAAATGTAAAAGCAAAATTCAAAGACTTTAACAGCAGGAAAATCCTTTCGTTCCAGGAAATTGATAGATCTGAACGTTATTCCTGATGCTTACACAGCAAATATTTACCTACTGGGTCACATCTCCAGCCTCAGGTTGCCTAGATGATTCTCAACTGAAGAATGGATGAAGAAAATGAGGCACATTTACACAATGGAGTATTATTCAGCTATAAAAACCAATTACTGTGGTGATATCTTTCTTGCACAAATAAAGCCTGTCTGGGGGTCAGAGATTGGAGCTTGCCTCTAGCTAAGGACACAGGTCTGGAGGTCTATACAGACAAACAAGCTAGCTCAGTCAGTAGAGCATGAGACTCTTATAATCAGGGTCATGGGTTCATGCCCCATGTTGGGTGCCAATATGTAAAAGGAATTCTTAATTGGTCTATATAATAAAAGGCCAGAGTCAGATATAGAGGGAAATGCTGAAAAATCCGAGAGAAGGCGCAAGCCACAGCACACCTTACCTCCTAAGCATCTCAGCAGAGAAGAGTGATTTCCCTTTTCTCCCTGCTTATATCCTGTTTCTGCCCAGGTACCTCACTTCCTGTCTGTCTGTACAGACCTCCAGACCTCTATGGTCAGCTAGTGGCAAACTTTATTTGTCCAAGAGAGATATCACCACAAATGACATCATGAAATTTGCAGGCAAATGGATGGAACTAGAAAATAAAATCATCCTGAGTGAGGTAACCCAGACTCAGAAGACAAACAGTAGGTACCCACTCATAAGTAGATAATAGACATAAAGAAAAGGATGGCCAGTCAATCTACAGTCTATAATAACCCCAGAGTAGCTAGGTAGCAAAGACCCAAAAGGACACATACATGGATCTCCCTGGGAAGGGGAAATAGACAAGATCTCCTGAGTAAATCGAGGGTGAGGGGAGAGGGGAGGAAAGCATGTGGGAACTGGACAGTTGAGTTGGGGGAGGGACAGAGAGGGAGAGCAGTTAAAGAGGTGTCTTGATGGAGGGAGTCATTATGGGTTAGGAAGAAGCCTAGTGCTAGGGAGATTCCCAGGACTCCCTAAAAACAAGGAAATGTTCTCAATGTCTACAGACAACCTAAATTTGCTGAGCCAGCACACAAGAAAAATGGGTTTCGACTCACCCTTGCTGTGCCATTTCTGTCAACCTGACAAGTGTAGTCTCATGGGAAGTTTCAATTAGATCAGATTGGCCTGTATTCATATCTGTGGGGAACTGTCTTGATAACACATTAATTGACATGGGACAATGCAAGCCACAGTGGCCCACACTGTTACCTGGTCAGAGGATCTGGGCCTGTGTTGGATGAGAATTCCTCTGTTTTTTTTTTTTTTTTTTTTTTTTTTAAGACAGGGTTTCAAGACTGGCTATTCTGGAACTTACTTTTTAGGCCAGGCTGGCCTTAAACTTATTTGCTCTTTATTCTATGATTTGTTTAAAAAAAAAAAAAAAAAAAAGCACTCTGTGTGTAGTCAGGTACTTGCAAAGGTCAACAAAGGCTACTGGGACCCAAATTCTGCTCCTCTGAGAGCAGATGTCAACCACAGCCACCTCTCCAGCTCTTTCATCACGACTGTGGATGAGACCAAGTGCTTCCAGCTCCTACTGCAACTTTCCATTGGAACCGACTATAACCTGGAGCTGTAACCCAAATCCCTCCCCACCCCCCTGCCTTTTTTTGGTCAAATTATTTGATCACAGTAACAGAAATGAAAATAGAAGAGTTGGTGCTCATATCTGATGACAAGAGTCCAAGTGCTGGTGGAGAGGGATTATTCATAAGGTGGGTGGGAAATGTAACTCAGAGCAAGAAGCTGATGGGGCATAAGCCCTACTCTGTACCCCAGCATTTGGGAAGCAAAGGCAGCCAGATTTCTCTGAGTTGGAGGCCAGCCTGGCTTACATAGTGAAACCATATCTTAAAAATACAACCAACAAAAATTCCTCAGACCCAGAGGCTATCCATGGGCTCTGAAGATCAAGTTTATCCACTAAGATGTAAGCCCTACAAGCTCAGGGATTTCTCAAAAATGTTATTTACAAGTATATGTGTGTGTGCGTGGGTATGCACTGTGTGCAGAGGCCAGAAGAGGAGTTACAGAAGTACTGAGCCATTCAATGTGGGTGCTTGGAATCAGACTCAGGTCTTCTGCAAGAGCAGCATGCCCTCTTAATAGCTTTACAATCTTTCCAGCCTGTGAAGACTTATTTTTAATTATGTTCATATTCATAGGTCTGTGTATGGCAGTGAAGGTGCCCGAAGGGGTTAGGAGACAGAAGCCTGCAAGAGTGTGTTGGATCCCCTGAAGCTGCAGTTACAGTCTGGTGTGAGCTGACAGGACCAAACCTGGGTCTTCTCCAAGAGTAGCAACTCTCTAACTATGGGGCCATCTCTCCAGCCCAAGCTCAGTGATGGCCCGTTTGATTTACTGATGCATCCTTAGCTTTCAGAAATACTCCCACCCGCACTGCAGGACCTCAATAAAACTTATAGGATAAAAGAGGTGAGAACAAAGAGAACAGCCAGCCTGCTGGAGCAGATGTGCAGTTCCAGCTACTCCAGAGGGATAGAGTGCGAGGGTTCAAGGCTTGCATGGGCTACAAAATAATTCCAAAGCCAGCCTAAGTAACTTATGAAAACCTTGCCTCAACATTAATTTCTAAACAAGGGGAGGGATAGAGCTGGAGATATAGTTCAGTGACAAGATGCTTGCTTAGCATGTGTCAGGCCATAGGTTCAAACCTCAGCAATCCCCCCAACTCTCACTCTCAGAGGTCTTATATATACTAAAGTACCATCAAATATAGTGCAAAACTAGTCTGTCTTTCAGATTAATTCATCAGTTATTTTCAGGGAAGTTACTAATTGTTTTAAAATATTTCCACATTTATTCAACGATCAGTAGCAAAATATTAATTTTCTAGTAGCTGTGGTTACAGTGTGCAGGAGTAATGGGACAGGGAGACTTTACAGATAAGGGTAAGATGTTCTAGTCCACAACAATAAGGCTGCCAAGAGAGGAAAATTAAACAGGCTGCATGAGAGAAGGCCCCACCTGAGGTGGAGGGCATGTGAGATTCCCACACAGGGACAGTCTGGCACAGGATGTGGCACTTGCAACAACACGTGCTTTGGGATACTTACAAGCTACTGAGTCAGCTTTGCTCACAAGCTCCAAGATCTCACTGGTCCCAATCACCAGGGTATTCTCAGAGCCAGGAGCATAATAGGTGCTTAATAAATATTTGCAAATGAAAAACAGATGGAGGGAGGGCAGGCCAGAGCTAATAATCTCACAGGCAAGAGAGAGCTCTCTCCAAAAAATTGAACTTCAAAGATGGTCACATACCTCAGTCAGTAGAGTAGCCCACCTAGCATGCACAAAGCCTGGGTTCATCTCCAAAATAGCATAAACCAGGCACGGTGGCACACTCCTGTAGTCCCAGCACTGGGAAGAAGGAGGCAGGAGGATGAGAAGTTCAAGATCATCTTAGCTAACGCAAGACCTTACCTCAAAAAGAAAAACGAGCTTCAAGCTGACAATGTACAACAAAACTCTGCCCTTCCCTCCAAACTTGCTCAGGAGGTGGGTTCCCAAATCCCGCTATGGGAGGAAAAAACAAAAAACAAAAACCTGAAGCTCAGGATTGTGTTTCCCTACAACAGGTGAAGGAAGCCGGGCTCTTTGGAAGCCCTCCATACACTACGCTCTGCCCTCCTCCTGCTTGGACATATTCTGCTGTTCCTCACTGGGCAAGGCCCAGGCCACTTGGAATAATGCAAGTTGTGCCGAGACAGAGCTGTCCCCATGGTAGGCTCACTGCACTGGGGGCTCCTGGCGATGCTGAGTCTTCTGGTGCCGGTTGAGGATGGACCTCTGGTTGAAGCTGCGGCCGCAGGCAGGGCAGTGGTAGGGCTTCTCGCCGGTGTGGATCCTCTGGTGCCGCACCAGGCGCTCCCCCTTGCTGAAGCGTTTGCCGCACACCTGGCAGCCATAGGGCTTCTCCCCAGTGTGCGCACGCCGGTGCACCGCCAGGTTGGCATTCCTACTGAAGCTCTTGCCGCACTCACAGGTGTAGGGCTTCTCCCCAGTGTGTGTCCTGCGGTGCACCAGCAGGTGCTGCCTCCGGCTGAAGCCCTTCCAGCAGTCTGCACACTTGTAGGGTTTCTCCCCCGTGTGGCTACGCTGGTGCACCTCCAGGTGATGCCTCTGGCTGAAGGTCTTCCAGCACTCACCACACACATAGGGCCTCTTGCCCAGATGGGTCCTCTGATGCTTTGTGAGGTACTCCCTCAGAGTGAAACCTTTCCCGCACTCCACGCAGCCAAAGGACTTCTCCTCTTCATGGGTTCGCTGGTGCCTGACAAGGTTGGAGCTGCGACTAAAGCCTTTTCCACATTCAGGGCACTGGAAAGGCTTCCAGAAAGAATTGTGAGTGTTGAGGGCATCGGGCAGGGGGACCCCATGCTGGGGAGCAGGGAGCCCAGGTAAATTGGTCCCAGAGGCCCCAGGTTCCTGCTCACAGGCACCCCCTGGCCCAGGAACCTGGATGGCTGCTTCTCCAAACCCATCAGAAGTCAACCCAACAAATGCTCTTTTCAGGTCTTCCTGCTGGGGTTTGGCTTCCTTCTCCTTGTTCCCAGCACCTGTGTGGCAAAAGAGGTCAACACGGTGATGACTTTCCAGCATAGACCCTCCAACTGCTGCTTTCCTTCATGCCCAGAAACCAGGCACCATCCTTTCTCTGTCCTTGTTTCTCTGCTAGCTCCAGAGAGCTGCTGTGACCTTTCAGCCCCACCCTCTCTCCCACTTGCAGATGTGAGCAAGACCAGCTCCTTTCACACACAGGCAGACAGAGGCAATCACCTGTTGTATCTTTACACTCTTCTCTAGGGTTTCCTGCATGCCACAGGCCAGGTGGGCTAGGTCAGTCGAGGAGACAAGGCGTGGGCTTCCCCCACCATCCCCCAAACCTACACAAACTGAACTTCCTTCTTTGTGGGGATCTGAAAGGAACTGAGAGATAGATCTACAGGCTGCCATCTCTCTTCTCCAGACCCCCATGGCTGCCTACATTTTCAGGCTCCATCATGTTATAGATGTTATATCTATGGTTCTGTGTAATGCCGCCCCTCCTCAGCCTGAGGCCTCCTTGCTCACTGTGATGCTGTGGCCCCCTGGAAAGGCATGTCTGAAAGGAGACTCTTCTTACTTCCTTTTCTGCCTTCCTCTCATTCTAATAGTGACCACTCAAGGAACTTCATGCACTATGTCTTCTTCTCCAAATGCATCCCTTTATCTTGGTGGTAGTGGTGGTGATTTGGCTTTCTGAGATAGTAATCCAGGCTGGTCTTGAACTCATGCAATCCTGAAGGGGGAAATCACAGTCCTGCACAACCACACTCAGCCTCCTGGTATGTTCATTAATGGCTCCTTTCCTTTTCCTTTGGTCAACAACCTCAACACCTTTCATGTCCATGAACCCTGAACTCTGACCTTTCTTTATTCCTTACCACCTCCCTGCCTGATACTGAACTGCATGACAGATTTAAATCCCCTCCCACTTAACGTATTGCTAATTCAGACTTTTCAGTTCCTTCAAAATCTAAGTCAGTGGGGCTGGAGAGATGGCTCAGTGGTCAAAAGCATTTGAGCAAACAGAGGCCCGAGTTCAGATCGAAGCATGCATAAAACAAGGACAGTGTGGTCTCAGGCATGCCTGTAACACCACCATTGTGGGTGGCAGAGACAGCAAGATCACTAGGACTGTCAGTCCAGCTGAAAAAGTCACTCTCCAGTCTGCCTCAAAGAAATAAGGCAGACTGACAAAGGGAGAAACCTGATAACCTCTTCTGTCCTCTGGGCATGAGCACAGATAATGTGCATCCATAGACACGTATGCACATACAGCACACACAGACACCTAACTCAGAGGTTTCTATGAGAGCACACCCTGGTGATTCTCTTCCCCTGGTCTCTTTATGTTGATGTAGCCAGTGAGCCCTCTCTAGACTACACTTATTAGCTTGTACACACGCACTCTGCATTCTCTCATCCAGCACATCCCTGTCCAACACAAGGCTGCCACACAGGCCTGCAAGCAGTGACTGTTAAGTAGCCATCTGCTGGATGACCCAGGTCAAACACTCCTTTTCTGCTAGTTCCTTTCTCTGCAGCCCTCGATGTCCATTCGTCAGGGGCACACTTCTCCAAGACTCGCCCACACTCCCCACACTACCCTGTCAGCAGCATGGCTAGGGCAAGACTCCTAAAACTGCAGCACCCATGCAGGCAACAGTCTTACCTGGAAGGACCCCACAGTCCTGTGATTCCACGTATTCCCCGAAGCAGTCAATCTGCGCTGGGGCCACATGCCTCCACTCCTCCTCAGGGAAAGCCAGGGCCATGTCTTTAAATGGCCCCAGGCCCTGAAACGACAGGATTGCTGTAGATAAAGAAAGCTGCTCCTGTAGGGGACTGGGGGGTCAGTTCCCAGTACCCACACACAGTTAATAACTGCCTGTAACTACAGATTCAGGGCATCGGATGCCATCTTCTGGACTCTGAGTGTACCAGGCACACATGTGATGCACATACATACACGCAGGCAAAACATTCATACACCTGAAAAGTAAAAATAAGAGAGAAAAAAAAAAGTAAGAGCCCTAGAGCTGGTGCAATAGCTCAGTGGGTTAAGGTGCTTGCTGCCAAGCAAGACGACCTCAGTACAGTTCTTAGAAGTGCAAGGGTGGGAGGAGAGGACGGAGCCAGCAAGCTGTCCTCTGGCCTCTACATGAACACTGTGGTACATCCCCACCACATTAAATACACTGAAAAAAGGCTCAAGCACAGCAAAGACGGAAGGACCTGGACCCTGGACTCGCTGGGGGAACTGTCCCCTCAAGCCCCACCTTAAGGCTATGCTTTCCTAAAGAACTGTCCAGTAGGTAAAGCCTGACAAGCCCCAAGGAAGTGGGAAACCAACACAGTGTTGTCCTCGGACCTCCCACAGGCAGTGGCACAGGCACCCTCATACCCATCGTATACACATGCACACAATGAAGATAAATAATACATTTTAATTAAGGGAAAGAATAAAGCCATGCTTAATAAGCACAAGGGCGTATGGTGCTTAGCAATAAGGATGAGCTAGCTGGTAGAGTGCTTGCCTAGAATGTCTAAAGCCCTGGGCTCCATCCTCAGTATCACACAAACCAGTATCACGCGCCCATAATCCCAGCACCTAGACTCCGGATGTGTGTGGGAACACAAGGATCCAGAGCTTAAAGACCTCCTAGGCTCTTTTTTTTTTTTTTTTTTAAATGGTTTACTTTTGTGTGTGTGTGAGAGAGAGGTAGACATATGTACAGCCCTCAGGGAGGCCAGAAAAAGAGCCTCAGCTCCTCTGAGCTAGAACTACAGGAAGCTATGATCCACCTGCCATGAATGTTGTAACCCTACCTCGTGTTCTGTGGACCCAGGAGACACTTTCAACTGCTGAGCCATCTCTCTGACCCCATCAGCTACATGCTGAGTTTGAGGGTAGCCTGAACTACATAAGATCCCATCTCAAAAGATAAACAAATCAGCAAAATCTCCCAAACAGGTATGTTAGCTCACCTGGGATGTGGCTGCAAGGAACCCAGCAGCAATCTCTTGGTCTCTGGTGCTCACAGAGGGAAGAGCTGGACCCCCATGAAGAATGGGCAGTGCTGAGCAGAATACAGAGAAGCATCAGGGCTGTTGTCCAACAATTCAAAAGCACTGCACCCCAACACACATGCTCTCAGAACCACAGAAAATTACTTCAGGGACAGGCAGTGGTGGAGCACACCTTTAACCCAGCACTCAGGAGGCAGAGGCAGCTGAATCTCTGAGTTCGAGGCCAGTATGGTCTACAGACTGAGTTCCAGCACAGCACAGCTAGGGCTACACAGAGAGATGTTATCTCGGGAGAGAGAGACACACATAGGCATAGACGGAGACAGAGAGAGAATGACTTCAGTACCACAATGACCCACAGCTAGGAGTCTGGGTGTCCTCTGTCCCGTTCTGGCTGAGAAGACTGTCCCAGCCCTGTCCTCTCAGAGTTAAACACACTTCTGAGACGCTCATAATGACAAAGTCTCTCGTGGAAGGGACCTTCCATCTCATGACTGGCATCTTACCTTGCTCCTGGAAGGCCTGTGTCCCGTCTCCAGGGCCCTGGCTCAGCTGTCCTGCCGTGCTTGGGCCCAGGCTTTGAACTCCTTCTCCTTGAAGTATCCCCCACTCAGGTTTGACTTCCACTGGTCCTAAAGGGATGCCTGATTGCCAAGATCCTCCACCAAGGGCTGTGACCAGCGGCTCTCCCTGGGCATGGCATGGAACCTAAGAAGAACCCCACACCAATTAGAATGGGACCTGTGGGAGGCTGTGAAAGAGAGCCGAATTAAAACTGAAAAAGAAAGCAAGGCTGGAGGTGCTCACCTCAAATGCATAAAGCCCCGAAGCCCTGGGTTCGATTCCCAGCACCACTAAACCCGGTATGGTGCTCCAAGCCTGTAATCCTAGCACTCAGTAGAAGGAAGAGGTTCTCTCTCTCTCTCTCTCTCTCTCTCTCTCTCTCTCTCTCTCTCTCTCTCTCTCTCTCTCTCTCTGTCTCTAGGTTCAAAGCAAGCCTTGTCTAATTGTGAACTGCAGACCAACCAGGGCTACATAGTAGACCCTGTTTAAAAAAGAAAAGAAAGAAGAGAGGGAAAGGAGGGGGAGGGAGGGAGAAGGGGGAGAGGGTAGAAGGAAGAGGAAAGAGAAGCTGCTGACCTCTTCCACACGAAGAACCCTAAACTCTCCCCAAGTGAACTAGCAAATGAGAAACAGCTGCTCTACAGAAAGTGGGACTCTGCAGAGACGTTCTCCTAGAAACAAAGCCCTGCCTATTCCCCTTTCTTCTCTCCCCTAGTTTTTAACACTGACAATTAACACTGACCTAGAGTCACTCAAGAGACAAACCTCTAAGCATATCTGTGAAGGTATGTGTCTAGATTTGGTTAGCTGAGGCAGGAAGTCACACCCTAAATGCAGATGGCACTATCCCATGCACCGAGGCCCTACAATCAATCAAAGGAGAGTGGGGGCTGGAGAGGGAGCTCAGAGTGCATACTGCCTTTGCAGAGGACCCAAGTTCGGTTCCCAGTACCCCCACCAGGCAGCTCACAAGCGCTTGGAACTCTAGCTCCAGGGGATCCAACGCCCTTTCCCAGCCCCTGTGGATATGTGAATATATGTGCACATGCTAACACAGACACACAACACAAAGACGTGTATGCTTGAATCTTTAAAACAAAAGGGAGAAAGTGAGGGGAGCATCAGCATTATCACTGCTCCCTGAAGGTGGAGGTAGCGGGGACAGAGGTTTCGCTCTCTTGCCAACACACTTTCTAAACCAACTGTGAGCCACAATGAGAGCATCTCTCTTTCTCTACTAACTCCTGGCCTGAAGGTATTTATTTAAGGGCTGGAGAGATGGCTCAGTGGTTAAGAGCATTGGCTGCTCTTCCAGAGGACCCTGGTTCAATTTGCAGCATCCACATGGCAGCTAATAACTAGTCCTAACTCCAGTTCTGAGGGATCTGGACATTAGAGGCAGACACGCTTGCAGCAAAACACCCACACATAATAAAATAAAAATCTAAAAGATATTTAAAATGTCTTTTTTATGGCATGGGTACGTGTGGTGTCTGCACATGTGTGTGGGTGCATGTGCATCATATGTAGAGAACATTGGGTGATCTCAGTATCTTCCTTTATCACTCTGCACCTTAAATGTATTTAGGCAAAGTCTGTCACCTGATTTGTTGCTTGCTGATTTCACTGTCTATCTACCCAGCTCACTCAGTGGATGCCAACTCCATCTCCTGGGTAGACCACCATGCTACCCAGCATTCTGCTCTTCCTAAAACTGCTTTTCTGTAACAAAGTGAAGCCACAAGTCTGGTGTTGCCTGAGCAGAGGTTCTTAAAGGTGAATAAGGAATCCCAGGTGCCACTGTCAGAAGCACTGACATTAGCCCCTTCCTCAAGGTTATGCAGAGCTCACAGTGGACCCAAAACCATCAAAACTGCTCTCACTGGATTTGAGGCTCACCAGGGGGGCCTAATGCCCAAAACCATGGCATCGGGCCGTCCTGCCCATAGATGTCTTCCCTAAAGATGGCTCTCTTAAAAAACATGTTCTAAGTGTACATGCTGTGTATGTGTGACCATGTATGTGAGTATGGGCATGTGTGGCGAGCAGAGGACAACGTCCAGTGTTGGTTCTCACCTTCTATCTTGTAACAGGGACTCTTGCTGACCCTGCTGAGGATGCCTGGCTAACTGGACTGCAAACTGCTGGGACTTCTCCTCTCTCTGCCTCCCATCTCACCACTAGGATTACACATGCACACTACCTCATGTGGCTTTTACATAGACCTCAGAGATCCGAACTCGGGTCCTCGTGCTTGCATGGCAAGCGCTTCACCTAGTGTGCCATCTCAACTCGACTCTTTTTGCTAAAACTGCAGCCATTTTCTGGAAAGCTCCTTTGGGGCCGGGGGGACGATGGAGCAGGCTCTATGTCTCATCCACTCCCACCACTTCCTAATCTCTCTGTTTTCAATTCCCACACCAACCGCGCAAGGCCTGGACACCCTCTTCTCACCCACCGCCTTGGCCTCCGGTGTGCTCTCCATCAGGTCCTCCACCATGGCTGCCAGAGCCTTGCTGCTGTCTGGGCTGTGTTCTCGGATCCAGGTGTAGAACTCTCGGGGCAGGATGGTGAGGAACTGCTCCAGCACCAGCAGCTCCAGGATCTGCTCTTTGGTGTGCAGCTCGGGCCTCAGCCACCGCCGACACAGCTCTTGGAGCTCCCTGAGGGCTTCCTGGGGACCAGCGGCCTCTTGGTAGCGGAACTGACGAAACCTTAGCCGGAATGCCTCAGGACTTGAGTCCTCCCCTGCCCGGCCCCATGGCAGCTCCTTCTCCAGCTTCACTACTGGAGCATCCATCTGTTGCTGAGGATCTGTCATCTCCAGACGCTCTTTCAGCATCTTCAAGCTCCAGCAAAACTAAGGGTGACAACAGAGAGTCTCATTCTGAGAACAGAGGACACACAGGAGGTCAACCCACCCAGCTGTTTCTGCACCGGCAACTCTTCTCAGGAAGCTAATATACACCCTCTAAATCTTATCAGCTGACCTGGGCTTAGGTTAGTCAGGGTAGAGACAATGAAGCAGAGAAAATCGAGGCAAACTTTGTGGCCAAAACCAACAAATTCACTTGTGGGTTGACTGTGATGGTGTGCTCAGTCTAGGGACAATGCCGCACAGGCCATTGCCACTGCTCCTGATGGCCCATGTAACTAGATGGTAAAGCATTCCTGCGGAAAACACAACACAGTTTGGTAGCAGGACTCGGAAATCAAGCTGGAAGAGACCCGGAAACTTCGTGTTAGTGAGTTTTCACAGTGCTGGAAGGGGCTCTATAGACCACTGCAGGAGAAAACGCACTGCTGGCATTACCTAGCAGTGAAGCTTGCATGCTACAATCACAAATGACCTGCCAGACAAAGTATGTCCAATGGTGTAACAGTGGTTGGCATGGAGGTAACCAACTGCTTTCTGACTCTATGTGGCTTGCTCCACAAGAAGAAATCCATGCCTGGTACTGTAAACCTGGCCAACAATCCATAGCCAGGGAGGTTACGGACCTAAGGGAGAACCTACTACTGTGGTTTTGCTGAAATAGACATGGTATCAAACCACCTGCTAAGTATTTATGCTGCTCCCAACACTGGTCAAGGAAGCCTCTTTGTGCTTACAGTTAATGCAGAGACTTATAACTGGCCAAAGGGCTGAGAAGTGACTGCTGAGTGTTCTTCCCTAAATGGGATGTCTGAGGCTCAGGGAACATAGTGGAAGAGGGGACAGCAAGAATGTAAGAGGCAGAAGGTGGGCGGGAGATAGTACTGTCAAATGCTGTCTTCTGGATACAACATGGTCACTTCCCATGGTCTCCTGCATAAGTCCTGCCTGGGACTAAGCCGGCAAAATCAGTCAGCATCCCAACAAAAAAGAAGAGGACTGAAAATAGGAGTGGGGTGTCTGGGTGTCCCTGGGAGGGGTGAGGGAGGGGAGGTATGGTAGGTATAGTCAAGAGAGTAAGTAAAAGCGGAGGCACGGACAGGACATGCAAGCAGCATGCATATACAGCTGTCTCCCTCCCAAAACATGGAAGGTTTAAACAGAAGAAAGATGGGGCTGGAGAGGCAGCTCGGTGATTAAGAGCACCCACTGCTCTTGCAGAGGACCTGGGTTCAGTTCCCAGCACACTGATGGTGGCTCACAACCATCTGTAACTCCAGTTCCAGAAGGTCTGTGGTGTCTTCAGGACACTGTGGGCATGCATGTGGTACATAGACAAATATGCGGGGGGGGGGGGGGACAACCATACACATAAAATAAAAATACATTTTTTAAAAAAGAACGAGTTATGTGTAGTGGCACACACACATCTTTAATCTCAGCACTGGGACGAAGAGGCAAGCGGTTGTCTGTGAGTTCGGGGTCAGCCTGGTCTACAGAGTGAGTTCCAGGACAGTCACACTTACACAGTGAGATCCTGTCTCGAAAAGAAAGGAAGATTAACAGCCATGACAGGAGTTGCCTGTAATCCCGGAACCTGGCTTAGGCTGGAAGATGGTGAGTTCCAGACCAATCTGGCTGGAAGAAAAGGAGAGGAGAAACAGGAAGGGCGGGAGGGAATAACTGGTGGGAAGCAAACATTGCACCTGGGGAAAAAGACGCTGCAGCTCGTAAAATGAGTCTTGTTTACTTCCGGGCGGGCAGGCTGGAGAAACAGGCCCCAAGCCCAAAGCACTAAGGCGCTCAGATTGTTGGCGCAACTAGCGGGCGAGAGAGGCCATGACCTTCTGCTACAGATTCTATCGGATGTTTGTGGTTTTCTCTACACGCCTCTTAAACCGACTCCTCATCGTCCGTCTATAGCACTCGCCTCTCTGCTGCACCAAGCTTTCTCGAACGTCCTGGCTATTGCCCAGCTCGTTTTGCCGGTGCCCTGGGGGCAAGAGGCCCTCGTGGATCTTTCCCCGCAGGCCTCTGGCAGACAGAAGGTGCCGCGTGCCTATTCTTCCACTGACTGTCCTGCATCTGCCTCTAAAAGCTGCGTGTCGCTTTTCAGAGTCGCAGGGTCAAGGTCTTCCCGCGGATCGTGGACACCCGGCGTTAGGACCCTCGCCTGGCCCGGCCGCGATCAGCGTGGATCTTACCTGAGACCACGGCTGTGCGTGGAGAGGCGACCTCCGGGCCGCAGGCTCCCGGCCAAGCTGCAGCCTGCTCCGTCCCGACACGCCCAGACCGGGCCGCGGCCTTGACTGCGCGCTCAGCACCTGCCCCGGCCTGCGCGGACCGGAAGTGGGTGGCGGATGCTGTCAGGCAGGTGCCCTATGGAAAGGGTCCGTGTCCGGTTTCTCTCTAGGAAGCTCGGAGGTCTCAGAAGAAGTTGTATCTCTATGGTCGGTCATGGTCAGTGCCAGCCTCCTCATCTATACTTGCCGCCAAACGTTTTTATTAAAAATAATTTTAATGAATCTCTACAAAAAGGAGCTTCTCTGAACTAGGCTAAGAGATGCATTAGTCTGTGCGTATAAACATAAATATTTTAACATTTTCTATGTATTTATTTAGTGTTTGTCAGGACAACCTGAGGAGTCAGTTCTCTCACTTTCTACCATGTAGGTCCCAGGGATAGAACTCAGACCATCGGGCTGAACCATCAGTGGCTCTGAACATAAATATTTAGAAGGCGATTTGACAATATATTCCTTAAGGAAACGCGATGGTTAGTTTTAACTGTCACGTTGACAATCTAGCATCACTTAGGAAGAGAGTCTCGGTGAGCGGTTTGACAGTCTCTCCCTGTCAGGATGGCCTGTGGGCATGATGTGGGGAAGACTCAGCCTGCTGTGAGTGGCACCATTCCCTGGGTTTGGGCTTTGGACTGTGAAAGAGTGGGAAAGGGGGAGCTGAGTGGTGAGCAAGCATGCATTAATTCATCTCTCCCTGCTCTTGACTGTGCCTGTGATGTGAGCAGCTGCTCCAAGTTCCTGCTGCCTCAACTTCCCTACAGTAAGGAGTGTAACCTGGAATTGTGAGCTAAAATAAACACAATCCCCTGAAAGATCTTTTTGCTTGACAAATTTTCTCTGTGTAGCCCTGGTTGTTCAGGAACTTGCTATGTAGAATAGGCTGGCCTGAAACTTACAGAGATCTGCCTGCCTCTGTCTCTCTGTGCTAGGATTAAATACTACCACTGCCATGCCTGGGTAATGACTTGTTTGTTTGATTTTTTTTTTTTTTTTTGAGATAGGGTTTCTCTGTGTAACAGCCCTGGCTGTCCTGCATCTCTCTCTGTAGACCAGGCTGTCCTCAATCAAACTCATAGAGATCCACCAGCCTCTGCCTCCCGAGTGCTTGGATTTAAAGCATATATCACCACTATGTGGTTTAATGTTTTAACAGAATTAATATAACAGAATTACTCTAAAAGACATGTATATTGGATTTTCCGGGAAAACAGATACATTTTGTGATAAGAGGTTTGTCTTAGAGCAAGTGACATTACTGTTGGGATTAGATATAAGGGATTTTCCCTTTCAGGAAAAGACAGAGAAGAGTATTGGAACCAGAAACTGGTGCTCAGGCCAGATGTGGTGGTACACATCTTTAATATTAGTAATCAGGAGGCAGAGGCAGGCAGATCTCTGTGATCTCAGTTCAAGGCCAACCTGGTCTACATAGTTTCAGGCCATCCAGAACTATATAGTGAGACCCTGTCTCAAACATTAAGTAAATAAGTAAACAAGAAATAAATAATAAAATGAAAAGAGAACAGTGCTTGGAAAAGCATCAATATTTGAAGGAGATGGTATGTTAGAAGATTGCTGATGTACTTTGTGTGCCCCAAACTCATCAGTGGAGTAGGAAGCCTGGGCATGGTATTGTATGCCTGTAATCCCAATGAGCTCAGACTCCTAAGGTATATAGTGGGATCAGATTCAGCCTGGACTACATAGTGGGTTTAAGGCCAGTGTGGGTTACATAGAATGAGGAGAGGAAGAGAGATAAATGATAGATAGATAGATAGATAGATAGATAGATAGATAGATGACAGGCAGATAGAACCCACTTACTCAGGAGGCCTCTGACTTCAGGATAAGATGAGGCAGTGCTGACAGACTGGTATCTGACCTGTCTGTCTCTCCAGAGGCTCTCAGTGTCACAGCTGAATCAAAGCTCAGTCTTGGAGAAGGTCCCCCTCCCCCCATCCCTTCCCCCAAACCCATGAGAAATGTTTTTGATACCAAGTCACTCTTCATCCAGAAATGTAACTTTTGGGGTTTTGTTTTATTTGTTGGTTTGGTATTTGTGAGACAGGATTTTTCTGCGTAACTCTGGCTCTTCTGGAAGTAGATTTGTAGACAAGACTGGCCTTGAACTCAGAAGTCTGCCTGCCTCTGCCTTCCAAGTGCTGGAATCAAAGGGATGTGCCACCACCACCCAGCTTGGAATGTAACTCTTTAATGTCATTAATTTAAATATCTACTGTGATTATAGTCTTTAAAAATTTTCCTTCATTCGATTATGTAATACATTCTCTCCGCTGGCTTCTGGGTTTGGATTTTGAAGAACAGTTCAACAGAGTGGTTCTCCTTCTGTTTTTTTTTTTTTTTTTTAAGAAACATCTGCAAAAATAGAAAAAAACAAAAGATTAAAAAAAAAAAAAAAGAAATTGAGCAACCAGTAGTTCAAGGACCTCTAATCTTATTCCAGCTGCAACTGAGGCACAATCACTGCCAAGTTCTGCCAAGTTTACACAGAGCGGGCCCACCATGAAGCCCCTCCAAGGCAGTAAAGACTGTCATGGTAGGGTGTACTTAGGCACTCACACAGATAGATGGGGACAAAACTCAGGTTTCCTGTCTCGATGACTGTTTCTTGAGTAGTGTCTCCTGCACCAAGCTGAGTTCTCTGCCCACATTGTCCAAATTCTCTGGGTAGAAGACTCCTTGTACCCCCTCAGTATTCTTAGGCATTGTCAAGAAATAGCAGTGAAGGCAGACTGCATCTTCAAAGTGCAGGACACACACACACACACACACACACACACACACACACACACACACACCAGCAAAAATTCAAAAGAGAAGGGCTACAGTCCAGGATACTTACCAGTCACTAGGAACAGAAGAGCACCAAAGCACCGTATATAGTAAGGCCACTGCTTAGAGAATTGCACGGGACCAGAATTATCCTCAGACTCTGAATTGCGAGGGAACGAAGCAACAAGGTCATGAAGGTACAGATCCCTGTGAGGACCCAGGGAAGCACCTGCTCTCCTCCCAGGCTTCTGGTTTTCCTCAGCTCATGTGACTCCTTAACTCCTTCTTTATCCCTCACCCCCTCTAAAACAATATCCCCATCACATGCCTCTCTCCTCCTCCCCAACTCACCCAAAAGCTGTGTGCCTCACTTCCCAGGGACTCACCAGAAATTGCTGTGCAAGTACTCTCTGTGTGGGTACCACTTCAGGGTGGGTGGGCCCTCCCTGTGTGAACTTGGGATAAAATGTAACCTCACTTTCCTACTGTATGGGTTCTGCCTCCTCTGTTGGCACAGGAGCATCCCAGGGCAAAGCCTTGCTCAGTCTTTTAAAATGTCAAAAAGACCACAAGGGACAGCGTAGCCTCTCATACATTCTTTTTAAAAACATGGTTATTTTCCAAGTATTGCTCCATGCCATATTCTTTGACAGACACTGGGACAGACAGGTGACTCCTGGGCCATATCACCTCAGGCCAACAAGGCTGGAGCTGAAATATTCTCTCCAGAAGCCCAAAGAAAAGGCATAATAAGTTCAGAAAGCCTGGGACCCAGCAGCTAGCCCAGTGCTATAAGCACCTTGACACCATGCCTGATGGCCTGAGTTCAATCCCCAGGACCCACATGGGGGAAGGGAAAAAAAACTCCCAAAGTTGTCCTCTGACCTCTCTAGCACTGTGGCATTTGTATGCCTACCTACCTATGAATGTTGTGCCCAAGTTGTAAAGATCCACAAAGAGACCACCAGGGGACAGACCCACTGAGTTCCCTGTCTACTGTCAGGTTTTCAAAGGCAAAAATCACAGGATTCCATCAGTAGGCACGGGTTGGTTTCTGATTGGTTGACATTTGGGGAACAATCAGGAGAAATTCTCAAAGTCATTTTTTGGCATGAAATACCTATGTATCAATTATTCTCTTTGGTTAGTGCTGAGAGGGAACATTCTGTGGTTTCCATGGCTTTGTCTTGTTACTTGCAGGTGACCTGTTGTACAAAGATAACAGTAATTTTCAGAACTGTATCCTGGAGACTACAGGCGAGGTTTTGGTCTCCCCTGGAGTTTCTTTTGTGGCCAAACAGTTCCCAGGAACCAAGTATCTAGGAGGCTAGAGGGGGGTTTGGAGTTTCCTTGTGTTCAGTTTTGGCCCTAGGCTCCAGGAGACCAGGGGATCTGGAGTTTCTTTGTGTCATGTGCTGAGTCAGAGGCCTGCATGTCCTTTCTGTAGCCTGTCATGGCTGCTAAAGCAGGGGGCTGAGTGAGGGTCTGGTCCCTTTATTTCTCTCTAGTATGAATAATAAGAGTTTAATGGGAACTTAAGGCATTGTGACATTTATATACTTTTTCCCCAGTGTAAATTTTTAAAAGTGAAGCCTTTGAGTTTAGTTTACCCCTTTCAATGAAAATGCACAGAACATAACAATAAATAAAAAATGCAATAAAATCTTAAGAGCCAAGAGCTTTAATCCCAGCACTCAGGAGATCTCTGTAAGTTCAGGGCCAGCCTGGTTTATGTAGCAAGCTCCACACCAGCTATAATTACAGAGTGAGACCCTGTCTCAAAGAAGAAAATAAATTCAGAGATGGTAGGTAGAGGATGGGTTACTTCATAGAGAACGCAAATCGGGCAACCTTCCTAAACCCTTCTGCTAATACCACCAACTGCCCTCCAAGCCCCTCCCAGGGCCTAGCTGAGGACGGGGACTACTTGGCTGGTGCACACACCTTCGAGGAAGCTGATAATGGCCGATGTCACATTGTGCTTCCTGGTCTTGGGGAACAGCTCAGATGCAGACACGGTGAGGAAGGAACTGAGAAAGCCAAGACGACTGTGGGCAGCAGGAAGACCCAACCCCAGATGACATGAACTGCAAAGGGTGGGTGACAGAGCCAGGGCTGCAGCGGAGCACCCTGCCTGCCGCAGAGCAGAGTCCTTTGGAGCCTGGCACATGTGGCCCCAGAGGCTTCAGTACCATCTGCTGGTCCCAAAAATGTGGCCTGGGAACAATGTTTGGACCCTGCCACTTCTCCAAGAATCCGTTGCCCTTGTTTT